TTAGATATGAAAAATGTAGCTATCTTAAAATTTATATCATTTAGTTCTATATTTTTATCATTGAATTTTCTAATTTACAAATGTATAATTAATTACTGATAAATGTTTACGACTGTACCCAAATTAATTTCAACAGATTGTAGTTTTTCACTGTTTTTATTAAAGAGTAAAATAATGTCACTCCAAAATTATATCAAGAATGACATTTCCTTTTATTTTAATAACTGCAACTTAGCCCCTGACCTGCACCTGACTATTATATCACTTTTTTATTTTTTTTTTCAAAAATCTTCAGCACAGGGCAAGTACTTTTGATTTTAGTACATAGCAGTGAAAGGGTTAACAGTTATATAATTCAGAAATTACAAGATCACTAAAAAATTATCTGATCTACGATATTATGCTCTCTGCTGATTTACAATAATAATATTCAGTTTCTAAGTTTGATCAACTTTTGTATTTTTAAAAAAAACAGCCACCCTTAAGTAACCATCTATCGACCACCGGTTAAGAACCCCAAACCTAGATCTTTAACAAACGACCAGATTTGCTGAATGGTTCTTATATGTGGTATATCTTTAAGACGTATAGTCTATAATATGGTATATATTGACATATTAAATACATACTAACCTAGATCAGGGGTCACCGACTTACGAATGTAGCCTAGTCAATAAATGTTTTGAAAATATATTAATATATTATATAACATAAATCTTTTATATCTTTAATTTCATTACCTCTAAAAATTTTAGTCCATGTCGCTAAAGTATATACCAGATTTGGTCCGTCATAAAAAAAAAGTTTTAGCCCTTTGACCCTAGACCATGATCGACGATCGTAATACCTGCTGAGACAGTGTTCTTAGTCATTAAATATTCAAATAATTCAGTAAACGACTATAGTTGACAAACATTAATTATTATAATTTACATTAGCGCAATTTCAATATAAAAATTGAAGGTGCTTAAGCTCTGCATTTTCTGGAAATTTATAATAAATTATGAGGCAGTAATGGGTTTTTTGAGCAAAAATGTTTTAGAAGTTTAATAATTTAACATGGAACACTTGGCCGATGTTATCAGTAATGTGAGTGCCACCTGAAATTGATACAATCCTTATTACTATTTCATTATTATTTATAAATATTAGTTATAATATATAGGTAGTAAAGGTAGTTCAATAAATTACTTGTAACAATTTGTATACATTAATAATATATAATATATTATATCCAATTACCTATATTTTTTAAATGGATCAAATCAAAAATCCTCGAACTAGGAACTGATAAGTGAATACTGAATAATTCTGGGCTAATGAAACATTTTTATTTAAATTCCGCTTATCGGTATTTGTTTTTTCTGATTTAAATTGAAAATAATATATTGATATTATAATTTTATGATTTTTATATTGTCGCACATTATTGATTTAATTGTTTTTAATTATATTTTGAACATAAATTTTCTTTTTTTTTGAAAAAAAATATACATTTTACAATTTTAATTTTGATTTCTAACTACGAGAAACCTGTCATCGTTTGCTCGGCTGTGTAATTGACCCAAGAAGCCAAAATATTAGTAGTTATTTATTTTTATCTACACATACACAAATTATAGACCTATTGGCTATTGTTGAATTTTAAATTAAAATTTTTTTTTTTTTTAATTTGATATCTATTTGTATATTATGAAAAACATAAAACTATTAACATTTTGGTGTAAGTAATGGGTTTAATTTATTTTTGATTTCAATATAAATTTGGAAGATCATTTTTTTTTTTAGTTTTTGATATCACTTGTTTCCGTTTGTTTCTTAGTTGATTTTTATTGATATTTAAAATAGATTTTAAGCCCTGGAATAGTAGTTTTTGGGTCGGAATTAGATGTGGGCAAGGAGGATATGTATTGCTGTACTGTGTTCTAAAGTTTGTAATTATATTAGTAGGGTTTGGATTTGAAGGCAATATAATCAATAAAAAAAGCATTTAAAATGTAAAAAAAGGCATTTAATTTATATAAAAAAGCAATTCAAAAATTTGCTACAAAATTAAATGTACTAACTAGTTGGTATTAAAAAAAAAATTCACTACCATGTACTTTGATTAACTGTCTTCAGTAAAACATTGACGGTGTAGGCTCAAAATATTTTTATACATCGAAAATGATCTTTCTACGTCTACCGAAGTTAGTCCACCTAACCGTGGTTCAACCTTATCCTGAATAGAGTTAAGTACTGGTATTTTTATGGCCATACGAAATACTCCATAAGACGGTAATGGATAGAGTATTCAGCGATATCGATAAATATCAAGCTCTTATCTATTTGTACCAATAATATGTAAGCTGTGCATAAAGCTATTAAATCAATTGAAAATTAAACACAAAAAAGACATTTACAAGTGAGAAAGGCAAAAAAAATGCATCCATCGTCTTAGAAATTAAATGAAACACATTTTTGTATAAAAATTATTTTTCAATTATGATTATTAGAAGAAAGGCTTTTGCCTTTAAGTCCGAACCCTATGTATTAGTCACTGCTGAACGTGATAATATAACTGCCAACCTGCTTTTGTAGAATATAGAAATAATGAATAGGTAATGTTCTATAAATTCATTTGAACTAAAAAAAAAATTAAATTGTCGAAAACTTTGTTTTATTCATAATACTCTGATAGTCTGATATCTGATGACAAGTGGTTTTTGGTTTTTTTTTTTGTAATCAGAATTTTTGGAGGGGGCTAATTTTTAAAGTTGGGGTGCTATTACCCCCTAAGGCTCCCCTAATTGAGTTTATTCTGATTCCAGTAATTTACTTCTACAACCCTCTAGTATTCACATGAAGTTTCATCACTTATATGAGCGCCTCTGTCTATGAGGGACAAAAATAATAAATAAGATATTATAAAATTTCCATATATCAACAATGAGTGCTAATATTACAATAATTATTCATTTTTTTTTTTTTTTTTTGATACAAAACATACAGAAATAATTGCAAATAAGAATTCTATATGTGGACAATATGATAGACCCATGTAATATTATTGCCTATGTGTAATGCGTATCATATCAAAATATCTCAAATATCTAATCTAATAAAGCGGCATTTTGTTTTTAGATCACGGTCTCCAATAATCTTAAAATTTGAAACTGCCAATCTTAGATTATGTTATTATCATTTCAATTACACACTTTACCTATTTGAATAATTGTGGCATTAAAATTTTATCGTCTCCCTTATTATTTGTTATTCTAAAAAAAATTTCATAATCTTATATCATTATTTCAAACATATAAAAGTATCATTAAGTAAGCATCTTCTGGGTAATTTATGCAATACTTTTATATACGTCATGTTATTTTTGATGAGTAGGCATGACATGTTTTCTTTGTCTTGTTTGTATTCCTATGACTTAAACCAATTATGTATGACACTAACCTTCAAGGGTATTTATAATAATTTTTTTAAGTGTAAAAACTATAGATATTGTACTTGTACATTCTAACCACCTGAATAACTGCTGTCAAAAAACAGTAAAATACAATTTTGTTTTAAATTTTTAAATTGATCTGAGTAGTCTAATTTAGAAGTAATTTGTAAAAGTTCCATTTTAATATTATGAGTTCGAAAAAAATGTATTGATAGAAAAGTATATTTAAATGTGTAGTCTAAATCAAATAAAGCTATACAATTATACATACATACATCCATCATAGAAATTATTTACTGAAACAAATATAAACTTATGTATCGCATACTAATTCTTTCCTTAGAGTAGTATACAATGGTTTTATTTAAATTATTAAATTGTAGTAATTATTTGGTTTTGTTGTACCTAGCTATATAAATACGGTGTATATTATAGTTGCTAGTTCAAATGTATGTATCTAGTTTTCAGTAACAAGAAAAATTATTATTACACAGAATTACTTCTAAAATTATAATAAACATTACATTTTATTTATTAGATAAGTAATGTTAGAAATATAGTTGTTGCAGTTAGAGTCTTTTGGTGAGGTAAATTTGGTTTGTTGGCCAGTGCTTGGCTCATATGATATCTCCTCAACTTTACATAGTTTCTGGCTTGAATAATATTTATTTTTTATTTCAGCATAATTCAATTTTAATACAATCATAATATTAAAAGCTGATACGTATACCATCTGATCTAAGCTCGTATCTGGCTTTTATATTGACCAAAGATCAGTCTTGTTTTCATAAAAAACAGATTTGACATTATTTTTGTTATCGCTTGATTTTTTTACTCCTACTATTGTTTGGAGTACATTATTATTATTATATGCTGCCTCTTAAAATTTACTATTCGTGCCTACCTTCTTCTTCTTCTTCTTCTTCTTCTTCTTCTTCTTCTTCTTCTTCGGGTGTAACGGCCACTAGGACTATCCCGTCAAACATCGTGCCTACCTACCTAACTGAATATTAATTTTTTTTTTATCTGAAGTTAAATTAACTGACCTAATGTTTGTGTGTTCGCCTGATTTTTTTAAATATGTTCTGAATAGGTCCAGCACCCTGTTCTTCTTGTTTTTCTGAAGCCAATATTGGACAGTTATTCCTTAAATGAGCCGTAGAACCACATTTCATACACATTTTTTGTGGAGCTGGTCCATTAAAATAATTAGCCGCGTTCATCCTATCTTTCGTATAATTTTGTATATAAGGTTGCATATTATATACCTCATATTGTTCCTATCATTTTGTTTTTTTAATTCCCGTGTTTTGAAAAGGATTTTGATTTGGCTCGGGGTATCTTTGTGATTAGGGAGTATTAAGATATTATATTAAGGGAGTAGGAAAAAATGAGATATGTAAATGTTATACTCAATATTATATTAATTTAGGAGCTGCAATTTTGTATACAAGTATATTGAAAATGCACGTTTTGTTCAATTTATTAAAATAATAATTCAATATTTAGATAATTTAATACACGGTAAAACAATTTTAATTGTAGTATTAAAAATATTTTCCAGTATGCTTACGAATAGATCAGTTGTGGATGTGTATGGAGTGTCGGCAAATTCTTTGTGGGCATAATGCTGGAGGACACAGTACTGCACATTACGGGTTCCACCAAACTCATTGTTTATTTATAAATATTGAGTCTGCAGCTATATTCTGGTTAGTGTAATAATTATTATATTGTTTATTATTTGGTCTAAAGATGTATTTCAAAAAAAGATTTTAAATGCTTGAAATATTATCTACTTACCAGTCATAATATTATGTCAACAATTTTTTAATATATTTACATAAGTTTAAAAAACATTGTGATTTGTAATAGGTATCCACTTAATTTTTTAAATTAAAATGTTTTATTTTTAAAGTTTCAAGTGTAATTCTGATGTAGAACCAAAAAACCACGATGATGAATTGAACCGTCTTCGACAGTTTATTCTATATAATCGTGGACCAAGTGCAAGTAATAGTAACAAAAAGAGAAGACGGTAATTATTTCAATAGAAAAAAATAATAAAGTAAAGCAATTATTGTATTAAAGCTTAATATATTTTTTTAATATTTAGGAAAAAAGCATCTAAGGCTGGTAAACCAAGAAAGACTGTTAAAAAAGTCTGTAAACCTCCTAATAATGAAAATGACTGTTATATAAATACAGTTACCCAAGCTCTTTGGTAAATATTACTATTGATTAAATTTAAAGTGTTGTTTAAAATAACTTGAAATAAACTGTATAGTTAGATTTTATATGAAGAATAAATTATAGTGTTTAAAATTCAAATGTTTGTAAATAAAATCTGAAGTATTTTACTTATGTCTTATAATGTGCATGACGTTCTTTGTTTGACGTTTTAATCATGTACGTTTATAAATATTAATTTTTTTCAAATTGTTCATTAAATAATTTGTGTAAATGTTCTTTAAAAATAAAATATTATTCATAAATTACCTATTTATAGAATGAAATTAACAAAATCTTATTGCTATTTTTTTTTCCAAAACTCATTGATCATGATTTTAGGTTTCTATACTATGCATAGAATACCTTAAACCTGACTGTATCTGTGGTGTTTTTTGTTGTCTTGGTTACCAATACCATTATTAGTTTTACAATAACAGGATATTATTGTACAATATTTTTTGGTTCACTCCTAAATACTAGAAATATTATTGTAAATAGCAATATTTTATGTTATCTGCACAGATTTGTTGGTTATCATATGTGATTGGCAAACAAATATTAGGTATGGTCTATAAATTTATGTTCAATGGTGCCATATGCAATCCACCACAACATTATTGTCTATAATATATTGTTTTATAGACATTAAACAAAATAAAAAATGTTTTTACACTTTGCTAATAACCATGGTCAAAGATGTCTCTGTATATCTTGAAACCATTTAAATTTTTTTCTTAAACATTCTTACTTTCATACCCCCCTTATTTTTTTAAATTTTTGAATTTACATTTTATTGAACTAACATAATATTTAAAACAATAAGTGTATTATAGCTTAATATATTTTTAATATTTAGTGTACAGGAACCTCAAGCTGTTGTACCAATAAAACAACTCAAAGTTAAACCTAAAAAACCTTTTCTTAAAAGAGGTCCTAGAACTACTAAAAAAGTTGGTATATTAAATTGTGGAAACAACTGCTTTATGAATGCAGTTTGGCAATCGCTTCGGTAAATATTATTTTGTTATTTATTAAATTTAAAGTGTAACCTAGTAAAGTCTTACTTATTATTAATACAGTAAAATGGGTTGGACTCTAATGTATTCAACATTTCAGTCAAATTTCCCTACTAATTTCTTAATCATTTGTCTGTTTTTTGTTTCCTTTATCCGAAAAGAGTATTTTTGTATTTTTGTATATGAAATAACTTGCATATTATATTGAACTATTTCTCAAAGAATAAAATGCTTCAAGAAATTTGTTTGGCCAAATCGGATGTTGGAACCTTTTGAATTTATCGGTATCGGTTCCGGTACTGGTTCTCCAAAATTAAAATAACTGTTCTAGTTCAGTTCTAAAAAAAAAAAAAAAAAGGTTTCGGTTCCAAATAATTTTAGTACCGGTTCCAGATAACTAAGGTTCCAAAGAGTATAGTAATTTTAAACACCTATCTGGAATGCTGGTTTAATTAATAGTATGAGAAATATTAGAAAATGCATATGATCATACATAGTTTATGCACAAAACAGTAATACTTACCATTCAATAATAATAAATAAAATTGTTATATTTTTGAACCTAAAATAACCTATTCAATTTCAAAATTCTGGTTTGGTTCCGATACTTTATATTTACTAGTTCCGGTTCTTAATATTTTAAAGATTCTGGTTCCAGAACCGGTTCTTTTATGTTCGGTTCCAGTCCTTGGTTTGCACCATCAACACCAGTTCGGATCAAAAAATGTCTTGCCCCTTTCTTTTTATCATCTATTTTCATCGAGTTCTAAAAATCTCATCATTATATAAATAATTGTATGCATAATATATCCATTTAAATTTGTAAACCACTAACTAGTTGAATTTATGTACTATTGTCTTTATTAACTCTCCATATCAGCTCTAGATAAGAGGTTGTATTATAATTTTTTCTACCAAACATCAAAATCATTCTTTTTGTCTCGCCTAAAGGCAATGCTATCTCTGTTCCTCATAATAGGCCACTGCCCTCTTCTGTAGTATTGTATCAACATTTCCAATATAAGTAACTATGTTTTTTTATTTCTTCATATTTCCTCTACTATCTGTGATATATTTTGTTTTAGTACTCTTAGTACTTACAGTAATCCAATTTTATGCCCAAGTTTTTTGTATATATTATAAGTAATTATCTTAATATCCATCATGCTTTTTATGGTTTTTTGTGTGATTTGTTTACAGTAATTATCAGTTTAATTTTAAACAGTTTTGTCTACTTATTTATTGAAAATAGATATTAATTATAAATAATTTCTTAAATATTTTGTTTTCACTATCTCGTATATTTAATTCATTTGTTACACTAAACATACAAAATTACTGACCTAAGACTACCTATTTTATTATACTTCTTCTTACCTACTAATTATATTATTTAAAATAAAGTTTAATATTTAACATTTACTCTGTTCTCAATTTGAGTTGTAACTTGTGTCCATCACTGTCATAAATTGAGTCTCTTATATTTTGTGATGTAATTTATTAGCTTATTTCAGTAAGTATAATATTTATAGGCCACTATATTTTTTGGTGAAATATGTAAAAAGTATTCATACAGTACTACTTAATAACTAACTCCAATGAAGTAGTCCAAATAAGTTAACTTTTCTAGTGTAACAGTTTGAAAAAATTATTTGATTAATTATATTAATTTAAAATTTACCATCTAATATTAGTATAATATATTCTGATATATATGATGTAGAGATGATCATTTTTTTCGTATAATGCAATGTGGTATATAAAATCTTTAAGTTTTTTAGGTAGTTATACAACTGTTAGGAGGGATAAACTCCTTTATCAAATTTGATTACCCTTTATCCATTATACAGTTTAATAAATTATTAATTTTAGTTTAAATTATAAATAAGTGAATAATATGTAACTACTAACTTGTACTATTAGATACTCATATTTATTTTTCTTGTTAAATTAATTAATTTTATCTAATTTTTCATAAATTTCAGTCATCTAAAGCCATTTATATATTGCATAAAATTGTTCAAACTTGTTGAATTTGAAGTATCCAATAAAGAAAATAGTACTAATCCAGATCCAAGGTTGCAAGATTGTATAGCCCAAGAAATGTGGAAACTAATGGAGACTTTAGTTGACTGGCAAAAACCTCCGGGGTATAAATGTAGAGAAGCAATTTCACCAATTGCTCTTCAACAAATTGTCTGTAGAATTAAACCTCGATACAAGTTAGTAAATAAGTTTCAATAAAATAAACATATAATATAAGTTTTAGTGATTTCAGATTAAAATAAATATGTATATTTAATAGAGATATTATAGTATTTTAAGTATATAAAAAAGCAGGTTAGTGGATGTTACTCTGTTGTACAGTAGGTTACAAGTGGGTAACTGTATAATGGATGGTATTAAATTTGAATTCAATGATATCATATAATTGTATACGAAAAACGATTCTGAGCGTAGACAGTTTGTCAGTCTGGATATTTTATATTTCATTATTTATTTATTTATGTTGTATATCAACGGGTATCTACCCTTTTACAAGACTACTAAAAGATAAGATACTATATCTTGAAATCAAAGCACTCCTTCTAGAAATTTTGTATACAGGATAAAAAAAAAAAAAAAAATCAATGTAAAACCACTAGAACCCTCACTCCGCTCAGAGTCTAAAAATGTTTTTTTCTATATATAAATTACTAATTATATTTTACATAATATAGCAGTGATAGTGGTGTTTAATGTATTTTTATGTGTTGTATAGAAATCTTTTCATTTGAGGTATGGGTCTGTTTATCTTAGTAGTTTATTTGTTTCGTATTTTAGGGGGTTAAAAATTCTATTTTTAACTATTTACCCACCTAGGCCAATACAAATGGAAAAACATTTATCCAATCGTAAAATTTGTATGCCATGATTATAATTTATAAATACTTTGAACTTCTATATATATTTCTGAAAGAAATTATTATTTATATGTAGTTTATTATGTCTACCTGGGGGTCATTACTTTCATTTTTCTAATAAGCATTATACTCAGAAGTATTTCTAAAATACCAAAGAAAGAAAAATATTTATGAATAATGTGTTGTTAGGTTAGACATTGATTATAGATTACTCACTGGTCGACTATCGATTACCATGGTATTGTCCATTACTAACCACTCGGACACACCCAAACCACGGGCTCGTGGTTAGTAATGGACAGTACCGTAATAATTGCTAGTAGTAACATTGGCCAGTGAGTAATCCATAGTATTTATAATCAATAGCACTAATAATGTATGCTTATATTAATTTTTGGATTTTTGTTTTGAAAGTTACAATTCTTGTATAAGATTAATAAAAACAATATGTCTTGTTGAACAAACACAGTTTGTAGTTTAATGTGAACCAAAAAATTCCAATATTAATAATTAATATGTTATCACTTATCAATTATATTACAAAAAATATTATACATATTTAATAATGATATTATTCTAAAATTATAATGACTATTTAGAGGATATCATCAACATGATGCTCATGAATTTTTGATGTTTACATTGGATACTTTACATAACGAGCTGACATATGAAAAAAGTAAATTGTTGTTAGAGGAAGGAATAACAAATGAAAACCCTAAAAATATGGATACACTTGTGTCATTGATGTTTCGTGGGTTTTTATTAAGTGAGGTGATTCATTTTTCACTTTATCACTATTTATTTTGATTTTTGTACAATATAGAGTAGGGCGTAAAGTTTTAGTCATGTTAAAGCAAAATATTAATTGCGTTTAGAATAATAAAATATCAGAAGTTAAAAACCTATTTTTATATTATATATTTTTAATTATATTAATAGTTTTATGTTGAAAAATTACTTAAACTGTCACTGACTATTATTCAGATTTTAGAACATTTTAATTAATTAAGTTTGTGAATCTTTTTGACTTTTAAATACCATTTAGACTTTTTTTTATGAAGTTTAGTTTAACACATACGCCTTACTCTAAACATATAATATAAGCTTGATCCATATAATGTGGTGGAAAAAATTATTTATCATTTATTCAATCATACAGAAAACAAAATTAATCTTTACTATAAATGGATCTACTTATATATTTTAATAAAATGTGAATTTTCTGTACAGGTTCTTACAAATTGTATGTTACATTTTATTATGGAAATTATATAAGGCACACTAAGTGATATTTTGTTCAAATCTTAGTTTTTAACTTTATAACTAATTATTGAAGTCTAAAAACTAAGAAATAGGTCCATGAAAAATCAGTTAAAAGGACACCATATCCGTCAATGTTGCTTCCATCTTTCAAGTGAGTTGTGAGTAACATAGCAAATTTATGATCAGCAGTTCACATTTAACTTCATTAGTTCAAAAATTAGAGCAAACGGCCTATCATGATGAAATTTAATGGTAAGAACATTATCTGTGTAAGTGTGTCAGACTTTTTACAATGATTCAATTTTTTAGCGAGTTTTGAGTACATAAAATAGCACAATTTAATAATACTCATAACTTGCTTGAAATCCTTATTATCGTAAAAAAAACTGATATAGAAACACAGGCTATAATTTTGCCATTAAGTGTCATAATAGGTTGATTCACACTAATGTTCAAACCAATGAGGCTAAATGTGAACTGCTGAGTGTACATTTACAATATTACCCACTCTTAAGGCGGAGACAACCAATGTGGGTATAGCATCTTCTTAAAATGATGTTTTGTTTTTGATTGCTGTAAAATTTAGAAAAAGTGATAAACTATGTATTGAATTTGATTAGACTGTTTATGATATATTATGGATCATATTGATTTGTAGTCTCCACATAGATAGTCAAAAATGGAAAGGACATTCTTGTTTATTTATCCACATAGTTAGTGCGCCAGTATACCTTAAGTATTTGGTACATTTCTACAAATGTTACCAATAGTAGTAACATTTAAGTAACTGTCTCTTCAGTCTAATTTCAGCATCTTCTAATTGTGCATATGACCCTTTTTTTTTTTTATCCTGACTATGTCACTGACCCTATTCACTTTCTATTATCTACAAGTTTCCATTATTTTGTGATCATACAATTTGTAAGAATCTCTGTACATTTGACTCAGTAGACATAACCATTATTTGTTTTTTTATTAGGTATACTGTTTAGAGTGCAATACACCTTACAGAAAAAGAGATGAAATGACAGATATTTCACTAGACGTTCCAGATTACGAAAATGCAGACCCGTCGGAATCTCGACCAGTTGATCTTTTAACTGGTAAGTTAAGACTAAATTTAAATTATATAAATATTTTTTTGACATGATATTTTTTTTTTTTTTTTTGTAGATTGCTTGGAGCGTTATTTTGAGATAGAAGAACTAAATGAAAGAAATTTTTATTTCTGTGATAAGTGTAAAAAACAACAAAAGTCCACTAAGAGATTTTGGATGAATTCTGTACCAAATGTAAGTTTTTGTTTTTGCTTATTAATAGGATTACACTTCTCTACTTAACTGAATGTTTATATTTGTTCAGATACTTTGTCTCCATCTTAAACGGTTTAGATGGGATAAAAATTGTCGTACTAAGGTACATACATTCATAGAATTCCCTATGCAATTAGATATGTCTCCATATTTTGATGATGAGGCGAAATCTCAATTTGTTGGTAAAGATGCAAATTTGTTTGATTTGACTGCTGTTGTTGTACATGATGGAGAAGGGTAAATAAAAATAAAACTATTTAAAAATATATTATTGTTATTTTTTATGATTAATGTCATTTTCAGGGGAGGATCTGGGCATTACACTTCTTATGCTGTGGATTTTAAAGAAGGTAATTTTATATAATTAAGGAAGTTAATGAAAAAAAGTTTTGTTACAGAGTGCAATATTTTATTGGTGTTTAAAATATTGTAAAAACATTTGGATGTTATAATCTAAGTTTTATAAATTTTGATTTTTTTTTGGAAAATGTTCAAAATTATTATTGGGTCTGTAGTATTTTGGAATCTTGTAAGGCTTTTTTAAATCAAGGATATTTGCATTTAATTAAAACAAACTCCAAAATATTAAATTTATAAAACCATAGATTGTGATAACATTTTTGAAATATCACTGAAACTTAACCGTCTTTACGTCATAAAAATGTATACATATTTTTATATTTTATTTTTTTAAATTTAGATCAATGGTATGAATATAATGATGAAAAAGTGCATGAAGTTGATGCATCTTATGTAGAGAATGTGCAAGCCTATTTGTTATTTTACATTAAAAGGGACTTGGCATATAACTTTGGTTAATTGGACAACTACTGAAATGATTAATTGGACATCTGTAATTTGAGTATTGACATTTTACTATAATATCCCCTTTGATGGTATATAAAAGAATATCTATTTAAGAATAATTTAAACAGTATTCTTAATATTCTATGTGTTTTTATGCTTAAAATGTCATCGCTATGTGAATATTTTATTATTATTTTTTTCTGAGAATAAGGTTTTTTTTACACAAATAGTGCTTTAATTATATATTAGTTGAATTATTGGCATTTAAATAATTATAGTTGAATTTTAATATTAGAATTCATAAATGGATCATATTTTGGTGGCAGGGCTAACTATTTAATTGTGATCTCTGGTTTTATTGATCAATACAATATGAATTGTAATCATATTTGAGTTAAAAAAATAACAACTTAATATTTAAAATTTTGATTTTTAAAAAACAAACAGTAACATGGTTAGACAATTAATTTTTATTTCACATTTTAATTCTTTAAAATTTCAAGGCTAAGTATTAAAATAACAACTTTAAGAAAGTATATAAATATTAGGTTTTTGTTTTTTTTACTTTACACTGCCAATTAATTTTTAATTATACATGTAAATTAATTTTTACTGTGATCGATGAATTTTATTTGTTGAAAAACATTCCTAAAGTTTATTTAAATGTTTTAACTATTACTATAATCAATAAGAACTTAATTATTGTTTTAACGGTTTATGTTGTAAGTTATGGTAATGGGTATAATTCCATATTCACTATATATAAGTGTATTAAATGGAGCATCATGTAATTAATATTAAATTAGATAATGATTTATTCTTTCATTATTTTAGTACAATTAATTATAAAGTTCATAAAATAATATTTATTATATTGACAGTTACAAATTTAAGATAATTAAGTTGGGCTTTTGGATAAAATTATTGATGAATAGGTATTATTTTCTGTGTTTACACATTTATTAAGATTTGTCTATTATATTTCTTATTAAAGATTTCATTGTTTAATTATATACTCTTAATTTGCTGATTAAAAAAAAAAAAAAAACATTTTTTAAATGTCGGAAGAATGAATATTTAATCATACAGTTTATTTTTCTAATATAGTAAGAAAATTTATGTTATCTGTAGTATATAAAAATATTCAATAGAATCATTTATTTTTCAGTAACTACATATTATACTAATAATTATTATTCATTTTTATTCAGTCCTTTTATTTTAAAACCGAAGTACATTGTTTTAATCTATATTAATTTTTATTTTTCAATTATTGTGTTCCTATATCAAGGAATTAAAATATATATGGATTATTAAGTAATTTTAATATTAATTATTTATAACATTAATTGTTGTCATACTTTTCTTATTATATGTATGCATATAATTATTGGTAAATTTTATTTTTAAATAATAACAATTTCAGTGGTCTTAAGATATAACAAGTAGAACAGTAGTTTAGTATGTATGTAATTTTTGACAAATGTTGATAACTAACAAATGCATTTAAACAATGTAATGTACACTGGAAATTATTGTGTTATTATTATATTTTTTTTTTTTTTTGGAACTGGGCAGTAGTTATTGGTTCACTGGGTGAATCAATTATTTGATGTGTATAATCTTAAAATATGTACTTATTATACAATTCTAGCAAATGTGTACTTTTTTTTTAATGTGTTTTCGCTGTATTTTTAATTATGGATTTGTGGTTTTTATAGCCGTTAAAAATTAACTTAATTGTATGCATGATATGTGTTTATTAATAAGTTTATTTTAAGGATCCCAATCATAATATAATTTATAAAGTGTGGCTGATATAATAATTACCCTCTGCAATTATTGTGAAAACTTTCATATTTATAATCTCTGTTTAGATAGATAGTAATATAAGTATATTGTATTACAATACAATTTTAAGTTAGTAATTAAAGGCATGGTTCAATAACTTGATATTCTTGTTTGCTTTAACAGAATAGCTCTAAAGCAATTCAAATTTTTAATAAATATAAAGAAAGAGGTAGTTTTGGTTTTATTATATTAACCAATATAGTAATTTATGATACCTGATAATTGCAAAATCAAAACATTTAAAAAATATAAATTAAGATATCTGGTTATTGTATTGAGCCTTTAGTTATTTAAGTACAGTAGAACTTAATTAATGCAACAACTTTAATTATTTGTAATAATTACAGAACAATATTTTCTCAAGGAACTTAAAATTACTTCATACCTCAATTACAGTAAATTTATTTTTGGTCCCTTCAATAATAAAAATTAAAGTTCTACTGTATTTAGAAAAAAATGATTTTTATCATATACATTTTATTATTAATTAAATTTAAATAAGTTAAGGTTTTTTGATTTGATTCTAAGAGTACAAAAAATGTTTGCAGTCTAATAATACTTATCATTAGTGTTGAAAAACAATAACTTATTAAGTTATAAATTATTTCTTTTTAAAAATTTGAGTGTTATCCAAAACCATGACCGTACATTTAAAAAAAAAAATTTATTTTATCTGAAAATTGCATACCTATAACTTTTTGGAGTAGTTTAATACTTAAGTTATATTATATATTAAAATTGGTTTGAAAATAAAACAAATTGGTATGCAATTTTATATTTCTATTACAACTTAAGTATATATAGGTCAGAGGATAACACTTATAAAATATCTAAAAATTCTGATTATGTAATTTTGAACAAACTTGTCCTAGTTTTTAAATATATTTAATGACCTGTTGTCTCCTTTATTCATTCCCTAATAACTGTTGCTATCAGGAACCTTAACTTTTAGTAAAATTGACGCAAAGTGCTCATGCGCTGATATAGTTTCACACATCTAATAGCGATATTCGAATTGTGTCTATTTACAGAAATTGTTTTGTTTTGTGCTCTACGAGTACTTTAGATACTTATTTGGTCTTGTTGTGTTTTTTTGAGATAAGGTTTGGAATCCTTTCACCTCACGACATCGGGGACTACAATTGGTGCGAGTTTGATCTAAACTTTTGAAATGATGTTAATATTATCAATCAAGTGTGTTTCCGTCACTACTCTGCCGCTATGTCAGCAATTTAACCCGTTCGGCAGTGGATCTGAGAAATTCTGGTAGGTTTTTTTATTTTTTTACCAAGTTCCCACCGAGCAGATGTTCTCGGTTGGGTTCTGAATGCATGTATGACAATTTTTAATTAACAATCGTACGTGCAAACCACTGCTGACGGATGGACCGCCATTTTTAGTATAGCATACATCCATCGATTATGCGTAGAGTCTATCTCCGACCGGAGGTTTTGTCGTTGTATTCACGTGTAGCAATAACACGGATCTACGTTTCCATTGAAGTCACACCTTTCCATATACCTAACCTCAATGAACGAAACGTCTTACGGCGGATACGTTTTCTACCTCCATCGGAGTAGTATCTATCCACCCCCTAACGATTGCCATCGGCAAGGCTATTCAAGCCCGTTTGAGCTTCGAAACATCCACGCATGTTTCATCGCCATTGTTGATCTACCTCCAACTGGGAGTAGTAGAAACAGTGCCACCGTTTGTTGTTGCTCAATATTTTAATCCCATATTTATTTCTATCTCCGTCGGTTTCGGGTGAATCAACCCCCCCACCAACTAACCATTTGGGTGGGTTCGATTCCCGTCGAGTTGGTGAGCCTCCACATTTTTTGTACCTCCGCCAGACGAGAAACGTTCAGTGTTTATAAAATATATTTTATACCTACGGCCGTTTTCTCCGCATATCTACAAACCAGGTATTTTGCATTCGTGTGGATCCCGTCCTCGGCATGATGGCGTATCATGTCCGGAGGGATCGAAAACGATTTCGATTTTAATCTACAGACGAATCTTATGAATTATATATATATCAAATAGGTATATATTATTGTATTGTGCATGATATTCGATCAACTGTATACATTATTTTTGAGAGTGAAAATAACCGCCATCCCAATATTTGGAGGCACATTATTATTGTGTACGATATGTATAGACTAAACCTGGCGCAGCGGTGTAATTGTAATCAACCCTCTCCCCAAAACGTTATCTCGGTACTATTCTGTGTACACCCGGACACCGCAGATAAGACGAAATTATGGGGCCGACCGTAGAATTTGCATTACTTCATTGAACGGACGCCCAAATAAATTTCGCTCCCTCACATTGGCTGTTATCCGAAAATACCCGTTCCGAGGTACCTACCTATTTAAGTGTTACCTATGTAATATTATAACGTGGCTGGACCTGATCAATAATAATTGAACAACAGGTATACTGCAGCAGTTCACCCGCTCCCATTCGATCGAGCGTGTCCGTGAACAGATTTCTAGACTAGTCTTCTTTTTATTTTTTTTGTTGTTTGTTAAGTTGTGCACCACTTAGGGAGGGCCTGTGTTACAATCATAGTTTAGACCTCGGTTACTGATTTGACCGGCCGAATTCGGTGGTCTAACCTTAGTCTAACGGTTGTAATATGGGCACTTTGGCTATTTTTCTCGTGTAGTGAGGGAGGGCCTGTGTTACAATCATAGTTTAGACCTAGGTTACTGAATTGACCCTGCCGAATTCGGTGGTCTAACCTTAGTCTAACGGTTGTAATATGGGCACTTTGGCTATTTTTCTCGTGTAGTGAGGGAGGGCCTGTGTTACAATCATAGTTTAGACCTAGGTTACTGAATTGACCCTGCCGAATTCGGTGGTTTAACCTTAGTCCAACGGTTGTAATACGGGCACTCTTTGGCTATTTTTCTCGTGTAGTGAGGGAGGGCCTGTGTTACAATCATAGTTTAGACCTCGGTTACTGACTTGACCCTGCCGAATTCAGTGGTTTAACCTTAGTCTAACGGTTGTAATACGGGCACTTTGGCTATTTTTCTCGTGTGTTGCACATCGTTTATTTTTTCCTAGTACCTATTTTGTCTTTCATGCATGTATATTATGATATACGTAACTATATTGTACGGTATGCGTACTCGAACTTGTGATTA